GAGTTAGGGGGCGGGACTCCCAAGAGTCTGGGAGGGGGGTGCTGCGCGCCTGTGCGTTTTGGCGGGAAAGTGGGAAAGGCCAGGGAAAATTAAAAAAATGCTGCGAACACCAAGCAACTTTATTATACTGTAGTAGATTTTCGCAGAAATGCTGTATTCGTCTGTCGAAAACCTCAAAGAGTCAGCTGCCTCAACCTTTCTTTTATCGCTCCTAAAAGAACGTTCGACGAGCAACTATGCTCTCTCCTTTCTTACTCTTAATCTGTATGACATGACATGATAAGTTGTAGCAACCTCCCGAGCTTCCGATCTCTCTTTCCCGCCCTGAGCGGCTTGTGCATGTATCGTTAGGAAGTTTCGCCTGCTGTATTGGGCGTTGTGTCAACTGAGCGCTGGGACAAATGAACGCCACTCGACTGAGCATGAGTTCAATGATTGACGAATAGTTTTTAGCTCCGTACGTCTTGAAAAGCAGAAAGAAAGAAAAAAACTACCCTTTATGCGGTCATTTTCGAATACTGTACATGGTCTTGAGGGTTTTTTGTTGTAATCAAAGGTCGCCTTTGTGAAATACAGTAATGTATATATTTACAGTACTGTATAGGACTAAAGGTGATCCAATCACGATGCACAGGATTTCTTGTGAAATATGCTGATGCTGTATTAGCCAGTGATCCGATGCATAATTTTTACGTGGGTGAAATTAAATTTGGATGTCTGCGAGGTCGTCTTTGGCCAAAGCCCAAAGTGTTCGAATATTTAATGCCATATACGTGTGCGTCACAAAAGTTTTCAAAGCTTTAAAAACGTAAACTAATAAGACTTTCAACAGTACCAAACTTGAGAAACCTTACGCCAATGAGCACTGCAATTATCCCAGGGAATCGTAACATTTTGGAAATACAGGTTGACTCACCCTCTACCTCTCTGCTATAAACTTCTGGGAAGCAGAAAATAATTCCTCATGGGGCAAAAAAAATCCTTATACAGTACTGAGAAAATTGCTGCAGTCGAAATCGTTGTAGAGAGTGTCTTCCTCACTACCTGTAGTGTACTAAAAATCAATAAAATTACTCACAACAGCTTTTGGTCTCCCCGAACCTTTTCTGAATGCGAGTGACGTTCAGTTGGGTGCCTTTAAGTTCAGTTTTCCTTGAAGCTCATCTGAATGGTGCGCAGTTTGTGGGTAGCTGCTGTTACTCGAAGAATAATTGTTAATCTGCCTGGGGATAAGCTGGGACTTGTTTCGTTCGATGACACTAGACTAGAGGACATCAGCGCGTTTCTCCAGGATGGCTCCCTGAAAGCTTCCTGGCGTAATGAATAATTTTCCCCTTTTCGATTGTACCCGGAAATGGGTCAGTCGAGAGCCTTTTCCAGGGAGAGAACGATCGATTCGCAATCCAGTTACATTTGATCGCGAATTGATCAGTGATCAGGTTGATGAATGCCGAATTTTATTGGATGGTGACAACGAGGACTTGTGTTTACTAGTTCACAAATGAACGCAGTTAGTTTTGTTCTCGTGTATCGTATCCACGCAAAACATGAGCTTGCACTTTCTTCGCCGAATTTGACCCGCGAAAAAATATGTTGAAATAAGTTTCAACTTATATTTGTTTACCGTGCGGTACTTTTTAGGCGTTCTCAATATGATTCATAAAGCGTGGATTTATTGAAAATGTAAAACATTTAACGAAGTTTTCCACTGATAAGATGTTTCCCGTTGCGATATTTGTTGCACCTGCAAAAAATAATGTCCATGGAAAGAATAATCGAAACAATTGTTTATTGTAGCTTGTCGTGGCAGTGAATTGTACTTGAAGGCGTATTTTTATTTGGAAATTGTTCTTTAATCCGGTGGTGAACATTGTTATTTAATACTGTGCTGAACTTTTTTTTTTATTATTAAATCCTGTGCTGAAAATTGTTCTTCAGTGAAATACCGTCGCTTATCGCGTTTAGTACAGCATTGCGTATTTGTGATTCAGTTCAAATGTGAAGAGTTGAAATGTTGACGAGCCTCATAGAACTAATGTTGTCTCGTATTTGCGTAAATATAGTACATCAATTGTTTTTCGCTTGAAAATAGGTGTGGTTTTGCTGCTACGTTTTTAAAAATGTCAAGCCCATCGATTCAATTTAAGGTCATCCAATCCGATGCATTGATATTCCGTGAGTAGCTTCACGCGCTGTATCTCCGGGATTCCATTAAATTCTGATTTTCGCATGACCACAGTTATGTGCGGATTCCCTGATCAATTTTTGATTAACCCGTGCTGATATAAATGGCATCGCTTGCCAAACGCTCCTGCGTGCGCCCGTACACGAAGTTCGATTGTCGATGCAGTCCGTTCCAATATAAGTGAGCGCAGCTCAGTCCATTACGCACGAAAGCAAATACTTCATTACGCACGCTGGAAAGAACCCTTGCGCACAGCTGCTAAACCCTTTTCTTGGGGTAAATACAGGGCCTCGTTAGCTTCCCCCAGATGTCGAGGGCGAAGCGCGGTAGCGAAAGTGCGATTTTATCGGTAAAAAAAAATAATAATAATTTTAGCCCGTCCTGATCCGGCGTTTCCTCGAGGTTGCATCTGTTGCCTGATCTGTGCACCCTGGAAATTGTATCGTTTTTAAGAATTCAAGATCGGTATTGAGTTAACCAAGAATCAACCCGTAGCATTGACCGATTGAGTGAATAAACTGTTACTTAACAAAGATGTTTTAGCAACCGAAGAGTTAATCGTTGAGGGGATCTGCGAGGATGTGAAAAGTTTGCATTTGATGAAGATATCGCTGTTTGAAGAGCCCACCTGTGCATGCAACAGTTTTGTTTGTTCTCAACGAAGTCTACGTCAACATGCAGTTTTTTATCGCACTCAAGTTTGTGTCAGAATCCTCCGAATAATTGGATGATGCTCAATGAACCAATAAGTCTTGCAGCTGCGTCTGTTCATGTACTCTGATAGTTCCTTCAATTGCAGCTTTGATTTTGGACAAGTTCTTCACCATTACCTGACATTTTGCGGTGCTGCAGTACATTCTGCATCACTTACAAATACAGTACAGTACAGTTGAACTTCGATAACTGGAACCTCTTCAAGTCAAGTACCTCCCTGTATCTTTTTTTTTTTCAAGTCCCTGTCGGAATTCCCTTGGAAACAATTCATTAAAAACCTCTCTTAACTCAAAGGCTTTTCAGTTCAAACCGCCATAACTCGAATTTTCTGGAGGCCTTTTGGCGAATATTTTATTAAGATAGGAACGTAAAAAAATGTAACAATGCACTGTACAGTATTTTAAAAGGAAGTGGAAGACAACCTGACTTTACTCGAGTAAGGCGCGAACTGCGGGTTTTCAGTCAAAATTTTTTCATAAAATCCTAACCCCGATTAAGACGCGCACCCCATTTTTAATGGCTCTAAAACTGAAAGTTTTCAAAAATAAAATCACCCAGATTTTTATTTTGGCACGATTTGATCCCGAAGTCGACCAATTTTCAATCATTTCCAGTTCAGCACGTTTTTCTATTGGAATTTGTCCAAAATTTCCCATCAGAATAAAAAATGATGAAGATCTAAAACCTTTACGAGGCAGCGGACCGGCTAATTTCCCAAAATTGTTCGGCGGAGCTGCAAAGTTTCATGAAATTTTTGCGGACTCAAAAAAGTTTTGCTTGAACTGCTCCGTCTGTAATTTTTCAAAGACGAAAAAAAATGTTTTTAATAATTTAATTCTTGGTAACTTCGTTTAAAGAAGTTTTTTAATCTTTCCACCTGAACTTCTTCCCAAAGAGTCTTGCTTTTTTTACGACAATTATTTCAGCAGTTGAAAATGTGTCTGAAGTGTTATCAGGAGAAAAGCAAACTTTTATTTTTTCATCAGATCATTTCAACTGCAATTGTCTTGCCAAACTTTCAGATGAACAGAGCAGACTTCCTTACTACTTTTGACACATTTACTATACTGCAGAAGATTTTTCGCGGACCGGCGCCTTGGGTAACACTGGTATAGGAGATCCTCGATACAGCAAATATAAAAGAGTAAATGACTCCTTTATTACCGTACTTGAAATTTGGCATTCATGTTCGATTCCGTGACTACAGGCGCATTCACGAATTACCTTGATGCGGGCCTGCTGAACGCTTTTTGTGGCTCCTCTGCGGTCAGAAGTCTGGCCGCATTCTAATATTATCTGTCGCTTTATTTATTTATTTATTTATTTATTCATTCGTTCATTCATTCACTTGTAACTTTGTTTTCAGGAAGAAGACGGGCGGAAGAATCCGTTCTCCACGACGGACGGCGTCGAGTTCCCGATTCTGCCGCTGCGGAAAAAGGTGGAACTCTTGCATGCGCTAACCGATTATCGCCTGCAAGCCGACGACGTGCAAAATGAATTGAAGGTGAGTGAACTGGTCTCGTGACTCGAGTACTGTATTTGCGCGCGAGAAGGAGCGGAGGAAAAGCGTGCAAATTTGATCTCAACCTCCGCGCGGGGTATATGTTGAGGGAGAGCTTCCAGCACTCGGGGAAATTCGCTCTGTTTTTCCCTGGGCTCTTGGACTGATGAAATGTTGCCCGCTGTTGAGATGAGGGGATCTGCAAATAATGTTGAACCGCCGACTCCTTGGGTTAACACTCGGAAGGTGTGGGGATTATCCAATACCCACACGTTCAACTTGTCACGACTGTAGTATTGTTTTTATGTATTTGTTTTTATTGAAAATGTTCTATAAATCGCACGTCGTGATTCAACTGTAATGCGTCATTCAGGAAATCACCCATTTTTTTCTTCAAGTTCAATTACCGCGACGAAATGTTGAGAATGTGATGCAATTCAGAACCATCTGTAGTTGAATTGCATCCGTGCAAAATTTTGATTGAGCATTGCTGAATTACGTTAATCAAGTTCCGATTCGTTTCACGTAAACGATAGACCTATAGACGTATTTGTGATTTTATTTTAAGAGTGTTGATATGATTATAGTTGCCGTCATGATTTTCTTCGTCATTTTATGTGTGTCGCCTCCCTAAACCTTGCCAAATTCTGATCGTCATGTTTACTTATCTTGTAGGTTAAACTCTTCCGTTATATTGAAACAACTAGTTTCTTGGCTGGGTTATGCCGCTTGAATTCGTAATTCTGATCGTGTTAGTATTACCGCCGACTCCTTGGGTTAACACTCGGAAGGTGTGGGGATTATCCAATACCCACACGTTCAACTTGTCACGACTGTAGTATTGTTTTTATGTATTTGTTTTTATTGAAAATGTTCTATAAATCGCAGCTTGTGATTCAAGTGTAATGCGTCATTCAGGAAATACCCCCTTTTTCCTTGAAGTTCAATTACCGCGACTAAATGTTTAGAATGTGATGCAATTCAGAACCATCTGTAGTTGCTTGCATCCGTGCAAAATTTTGATTGCGCATTGCTGAATTACGTTAATTAGGATCCGATTCGTTTCGCGTGAACGATAGACCTAAAGACATAGGTGTAACTTTATTTAAAACTGCTGATATGATTATATTTGACGTCATTATTTTCTTCGTCATTTTGTGTGTGTCGCCTCCCGAAACCTTGCCAAATTCTGATCGTCATGTTTACTTATCTTGTAGGTTAAACTCTTCCGTTATATTGAAACAACTAGTTTCTTGGCTGGGTTATGCCGCTTGAATTCGTAATTCTGATCGTGTTAGTATCGGTTGGGTTACATTCAGTTTTGTTGCCTTAGAATTCCTAGATTATTTCGGGTTTAGATTATTTTCGATTCGGTTAGTCCGGGCGAGTTAATATTGCGTGAGTTGGATTAAATTGTGAAAATCTTCCAAGTTTAGTTGAATTTATGCGAGGTTAAGTAAATTTAGGAACGCTTGGGTTATTTGTGGTGAGATTTATAATTGAGAAAAAAGAGTGGCTAACATCCAGAAAATGTGATCGATGGATTGAGGCATACAAATAACTTTTGAAAATAAAAAAAAAATACAATAAAACCTGGTTTTAAAAATTGTTGGGGTTTCAGAAAAGTGTCGTTTTACTGAATGATTTGTCGTAGCGCGATTTTCGAAATTAATGAATGAAAAAATTTCTACATCGGACTTGCTTATAATCTCTTAGATCCTGCTTTTCTGGCCTTCTAAATTTTGTGTGTGTGTAAAACTGAGTGATCTTCTGGGAAAAAAGCTTTAATCATGTAATCCATCAGATGCATCAATCTCTTCGTTCTGGGAGTATGATGTGTGGAAACATCTGAAAGCATGTTTTTCATTGAGTAAAACTTGCATTTATGATGCAAGAAGCATATCAGTCAGGCACATTTAAGACTGGATAACGGTATTTGTCGTGACGATATTTTACGGTATTCATCAGTATAAATTTGGTCAGTGAGGCATCAATTTCAATTTTTTAATGGACCAGTGTTGCTAAAAAAAAGTGTTACTAAAATATAGTGAGACTCTTCTAAATTACAATAATGTATTACGGCATTGAGTTATTTGTTAGTAGCGGTTTTTCGCTGTCTCATCAAGAGATGCCTTTCCAGGCATTTGTTTCTCACTGATCGACGACAATTTTTTTTAAATTGGAGCAATTCATTCGTCTCGCGTGGCGGCGATTGATGAATTTATGATTGTTGAACAAAGGCGCACGAATTTAAGACCATCATGCACTTCGATTAAGTAGAAAGGAGTTTTTTGTTTTGTTTTTTTTTGTTTTCCCTTCCCCGGTGGCTAATTGCGGAGCACCGAAAGTTGGTGCAGGGATTCAACAGGGGAGGGTACACAAGTTCGTTTCTCACGAGTTTTTCTTCTTTGTTTGCCTCCTTGGCTAGAATCTGGAGGCGGACAGTCTGCGAGTGGAGCCGCTGGGGCACGACGACGAAGGGTCGACGTACTGGTATTTCTATGGAACCAGGCTCTATCGAGAAGACCTGCCTTATGCGGAGGTGAGTTCACGATGCGACGAGCGTTTTCCCCCTTTGCCTGCCTATTGAATAAATCGTGACTCGGTTTCTGGTGGAGACTGGAAGAGAGAGAGAGAGAGAGAGAGTCTGTCGATACGTACTAACCGGATTCTCGAATCAATTGACGAAGTTCTTTTCATTTATTTATCATCCTCTCTCCCGACTTTCTTCTTCTTCTTCCGTTTGGCTCTCGAAAATACAATATCGTATGAATTGTCGATTGTCTGTTTTAAAAGTGCGATTCAAGCACCACTTCGAAGTACAGTACTGTTTCGCTGAAATCCTTGGTTCCGGGTGAACCAGTGCGGGAATTTTATTACAAATCTTCACGAGTTAAGCTGCTCTCTGACTAGATCAGGTTGTTAATTTTCGTTGTGGGATAAAGTCCTGGAAATAACAGTCAAAATTTGATTTATAATGTGTCATATTCTTATAGGATCTGAATTAATATGACCATTCGAGAATACCACTGGAATATGGAGATCTATGGCGTCTCCTTGTTCAGTGAGAAATGAATAAGAGTGAAAATGTAACTTGTTTATTGAATCGCGGCGACCGCGGCATTTGTTTTTGTATGGGTAGATGTCGTTGGCAGTCTCGAAGCGGTTTAAATTTTATGTAGTCATACGTTCCATCTACTTTTTGTGCTCTCGCCTCCTTGTATGTGTGCATGGGCAATGCTGCAGTAATTTACGAAACTGAAAGGGTTACTTGCTTCATTAAGGAAAGAAAAAAGCACGTTCTTAGTGCAGCTTTTTAGACCAATACTGATCACCGGACCCTTATCATGTGTGGCTCAAGAAGGCCAAACTGAGATTCAATTTTGTCAACCAGTGACATCTTTCCATATGATGAAACTTGGCTGAAGCTCAACAGACGATTTATTTTCGTTTTGTTGTGATTAAAATTGTACACAAGTTATTCCCAAAGATTTATTCACTTCTGGACTTCTTAAATAGGAACGGGAACACACGAGTTGTGGAAGTAAAGTACTGTACCGTACGTGGGCTGGTTTGGATCAAAAGTGAACTTTGTTTGAAACAACTAAGTCCATTTTTTAAATTTTGTCCTATTCCGAAATATTTCTTAATTTGCGAAAGATGTGTATCGTAAAGTGTTAGTGACTTTTGCATTTTTATGTCTGCATTTAACCGGAGAATGTCTGTTAAGTCAAAATCTATCGTTCTCTCTCAAAAAAATGTCATTTGTTTCAGCGGATGACGTGTATAAGGATCTTTTTCAGCGAACAAGTTGTGTTCGACTCCGAGCGAATGGAAAGAAACTCGGTTGAACCTTGTCTGTATTCTGACAGTACGTGTGCAGAAATACTGTACTGTAGTTCGACCGTAACCCCTTTGTTTAATCATTCAAAAGGGCCGAGATAATAATTTCAGTTGATGAATGTCATTCAAGTACTTGGGACGTACCGTAAAAGAAAAAATACGTGAAGTCGCAGCGGGCCTTTTGCCGAGACCTGCTCGTTTTTTATATTTTTTATTTTGTACGCGCCACAGTACCAGTAACGTTTATTATTTAAATTGTGAACGAGCCACATCAGTCTTGAGTGTAGTCTCCTTTTTTTGTGGGTTTCATTCGGAATTGTTGAACCCGAATGATGATGTGGCGAACAAAATCAGTACAACGACTATTCGTTTAAATCAGTCATCGAACTGCCGAGTGGAATAAAGTTTCTGAGGGCATCTTTCGTGATTCAACTTTTTTTTTCCAGTGTCGCTGAATACTTTTCACTACTGTACTGTATTGTACTTTTTTCAGAAATTAATCATTAGAGTCGAACTGTTTCCCTCCCCCCCCCCCCCTTCATGCGTCTGGTGCGAGTTTTTGTTTTTGTTTATTTTCTTCTCTTCCGCTTCGTGTGAGCCCTAAAAAAAAAGTTCGGAGGTTTTCCGGGATCTTATTTCCTTACATTTAAAGCATTGTGTTTCCAGAACACACTGCTTCAATCTTGGCTCTTCAAAAAGAAGACTGAAGCGTGTTGAGAAAAGCTTGACGGAATCGTAATCTTGTTCTAGAAATCCTCATGATGTGGATAGCCACAGTTTAACGAAAATTCCATTTCTAAGAAAGAAAGATTCCCGAGTTTCCGCTGTGCATATCTGCCGTTTGGATTAGCCTCATATTTTTTAGTCTCCCGTGAAATGAACAAATAAATCTGCTTTCTGTTCGTGGGTTCTAGAATCCCTCGGTGTACAAGTGACCTAGATGTCTTTCTGGTATTTTTTTTTATTTTTGTTAGCCTCATTGGGATTCGATATGAAATTTGTGGTGAAAAGAGTTAAAGTTTATTCTTGACTTTGACCCATACACTTCACTTTTTCGACTTCAGCCAGGTGCCACCTGAATGAGAAGTCCGTTCGAGAATGACTTTACAAGATTTGAACTTTCTTAATTGTTGGAAGGCTCGTGCAAAAACGAGGAGGGCCAGAGAAGAGAGGCGCTTGTCGCTTATGATGATTTAGTATGCATTCAGAGCTCTTATTATTACTAATGACATCTACGCACTCAAAATTAATCCATCACTTTTCTGATCAAACTGAATCTGTTACGTGGATTGAAATTTCGCGAGTGGAATAAAGTGGAGCATGTTGAGACCTGGAACTTTTCCGGTACCCTATAACTGCTATAAGAGTATTACATGACATTTCGTTGTCAAATGTTGTTTAAAGAAAAAAAATTAGGATTTCGACCAGATGCTTGAAACAAAAATTACGAAGATGGGAACCTTATGATGAAGAAGTGGGAATTACCAGAAAATGAGCAACAAGCGGGTTTTTATCTGTTTAATTTTTTGCTCATGGGATTCATTTCTACGTCATTTTTTTTCTTTGCAAATAGACGTACTGTGTATGAAGCTCTGATTTAAGAAGATACCTTGTTGAGCACGCGGTCTGTTCCACTTGTCGGGTGTATCTGCTCATTCATCCGAGTCCAGTACAGTTTTCTCATGCTCTTGTTCCTTGCTTCTTTTTTTTTCCTTTTTATCAGCGAGTGGAGCGCCTGAAGAAGAGGGAAGAAAAAGCCAAAGGCGAGAACGGCGTAGCAACAGCCGAGGTGGAAGAGAAGCCCAAGAAGCGAGGCCGGAAAAGCAAGAAGGAGCTGGAAGAGGCGGAGGCGAAAGAGGCGGAAAAGCGGCGCCCGTTGTGGCAGGTCGTGTGCTACACCCGCGAAGATTGGGAAAAAATCACTATGAAGTTCGAGGAGTCGAAATCCAAGGCCGAAAAGGCCTTGTTTGCAACTCTCAAGGAAGACTTTTTGCCCGAGATCCCGCGCCTCTTTGAAGAGAAGGAGAAACTTCAAAGGTAAAAAAAGCGGGATTCGTGCTGTGTATCAAGCAACTTTGTGTGAATAAAAAATAAAATAAAAATAAAAAAACGAGGACAGCGAGAGAAAACTTCAAAAGCCGATGTCGTGCTCGACTAGTTCATCCTTCCGTCTCTCGTCAGACTTGCTCACTTTCTCCATCTTTTTTTTTTCTCTAATTCGATCATGATCTTATTCCCAATTGTTTTCCCACAAAAGGAAAAGACTTGCCGAATTGCTTCCGAGACGTTCATCTGGTCGATTGGAAAGGCAGAAGTTGAAGAAGGAAGAAGAAGAGCAGCAGAGATTGGCGAAGGAAGCGCAAGAAGCTGCCCGACTGCAACGTCTTGATAAAGACGCTGAAGAAAGGGAAATGTAAGCACGTTCTATTTTAATTTAGTCAACAGAAGCAATTGCATTTTTTGTGACAACGGATTACTGGATACATTATGGTTTTGCATCGAAGAGAAAAAAAAGAACATAGTGTTCAAACGAGTATTTACTCCTCTTGAAGTGAAGACTGTAAGAGAAGCAGTCATTATTTGAATAAAATATTCCCTCCTTCTCGAATTTCACGATATGGGTGCATGAAATGTCTTGAAAGTTACTTTACTATTTGAAAAGTATAACGATGACTATGAACGTGATCGGATTGATCATTCATCATGCTGTACCTTGTTGATTACGGCGTCGATTTGTTCTTGTGCGGTTAGATGTCACTGGTCGTTAAGACAGCATTTTATTTACCGAAGTCGGACCAATAAACTTCAACTGTATCGGGGATCCCTGTGCGTTCGCACGAGCAGCTGAGGGTCGATATTGTTTCTGCGTTCCCTTTTTTTTAATTAAATTATGAGTTAATCTCGCTCGTACTTTTACCGTCTCAATCGATCATTTGCAAACCTCCTTGACGAATTCTTAAAAAGTTTTCGTGCAAATCTACCTTTGTGTCATCGAATCTTTGAAATTTACATTACAAAAATAAGATATTCGAAATTATTTTGAGCTTTAATGTGAGCATGGGGATGTGAGTCTCTGTTATAACCCAATGATATCTTTAGAAAAATGCCATAATTCTCTTGATTTTGGCCAATTTTCTGAGCATGTCAAAGGTTTTTTCCGGCACTAAATTAAGGTTTACCTTAAAAACTCAATGGAGTATTTTTCCGAGGGAAAATTGTGCAACTGTGAGAGGGGGTGGCTCTAAAGTGAGGGTTGACGGTATTGAAAACGTGAGCTTTTGAAGTGCTCAGTAACTTCTCGATATCCTTTGCATTAATGTCTGACGTTCGCGTTTATCGATTTCCGCGAAAAATCAGTTTCTTTCTTGGAAAGTATTTTTAAGATGAAAGAGATCTTAATTTTTCGTTTCTTTCGTTCGGTCAGCGAGAAGTATCGAGTGGAAGAGCGAACGCGAAGGGACGAAAGAATCCGACGAAGAGAATACTTCCGTGCCAACATGGGAGAATGGAATTACGATGACTTCGACGACAATGAAAGCTATTACGGATCCTTTTCGTCCCCGGTTCGACCGCCGTCGTCTCGAGAAGATGATCTTTCGTCAAGTCCCTTCGTCTCTCCGGTTGTTGCATTCCCCTCGACGAAAGCTGACGATTTGGAAGACAGACTGCATGGTGATGCTGTGTAAGTGTCAACTTCTGCTTTTGTATTTCGACTGTGTTCAGTGAAGTTCAACGCATTTTTTTTTCCTCCTTTTCGAGCAGGTCTCGGAAATCAGTTGACCAACTACAAACTCGGTTGAAGAAGGTTCTGAAGTATTTGAAGAAAAGGGATAACGTGAGCTGGCCCTTCGCACTCCCTGTTAATGAAAAAGTGGCCCCGGATTATTATTCACGGATCCCTCAGCCCATGGATTTGTCCATGATGACTGAGAAGGTGGAGCGAGGGAAATACTCATCCATCTCACAGTTTCAAAAGGACTTCAAACTTATGATTCAAAATTGCAAGAAGTACAATGGGGAAAACAGTGGTAAGCCATTTTTATTCGAAATCCAGTACCTGTATCAGTCAACTCTGGGCGGAAATATTTCAAGCGTTATTACCTTCAGTATTACGTTTCTTGTACGTTCACATACTCTGGCACTGGGTTAAATTTGTTATACGAAGCAAGGGGTTTTTTCTTCCCGGTCATGTTCTGTATATACTTAATAGTCGACGAGATCTGAGTCATTTTGAAAATCCTCCCAAACTGTTAGATATGCTTTGAAAAAGCCGAACTCATCATTTTTTAGTTTAAGCTTTGAATCTTTGTGGTAAATGCGTCCGACTTCTTCCTCACTAAACTTAGAAATTTTATCAACCTCATGGTAGAATTTTTTATGGCGTCTTGTTTTCTATCATATAAGTTGGATCACATGCGGTAATTTAATTAGCTCACTCAAGTTGAGCTTGAGGAAGATTCGTTTTTTTTTTTTTTTTTTCATTGGTCCCATATTCATTCTAGAAGCACGTGCCTTCGATTTCTGCTAGTGAGATGATGCCTCAATGGCAAAAATATCCAAGTTCCTGAGTGTATGAAGCGGAAAATGTTATTTGTTGTACGAATGGCGCTATCTCTATGCAGTAAATCAAAATACTGTACTGTACTCCTTCAATTTTGCAGAAATATTCGACATGGCGATTGATCTGGAAAAGCTGTTCCACAAAGCCGAAAACCAGTTTCTCGGTGAAGATTCTGGTCAGTCATCAGAAGATGAATCGTTGGCCTCTCTAGTGATCGAAGAAGAGCGGGAGGAACCCCCGAGCCCGCCACCGGTGAAAAAAGAAGTGAAAAAAGAAGTGAATAAAAACTCGGCGTCTGCAGGCGTGAAAAGTGAGAAGAAGAAGAAATCTGTGTCCATTGTAGAGGATTCTGATCTTGATAAGCAAACCCCCGTGAAGCAAGAAAAGCCTGTTGCGGTCCCGGCCAAAAAACGTGGTCGACCCCGGAAATATCCTCTGCCTGAAGATCAAATCAAATCGGAACCCAAGAAAACAACCCCTGTGACGTCGTCAGTTCCGGAAAAGAAACCAGAAAGCGTCACTCCGACTTCAGGGGTTGTGAAGCGGGGTCGTGGTCGCCCGAGAATGTCGGAAGAAGAAAAGGCTGCCAAACGTCAACAAAATCTGTTGAAGAAAGCGTCTTTGACCAAAGACAAAACCATCAAATCACCTGTTCCTGCCGAGGAAAAGAAACGCGTCTACAAAACTCCGGAAACCGTTCACGACTCATTTTCTTCTGACGAAGAACAACTCAGCGATAGACCGAAGGCGAAAAAGAGGAAGACTGTCGAGTCGAGAAGTCCTAAAAAGTCGCGAGCCTTTAGTCACGTTGACGAAGACACGAAACGAGCGAAATCGAAACATGTTTTCGATTATGAAAGTTCGAATGAAGAAAATGACTCTGACTCGTCTTCGTCTACGGCATCTTCACAATCGTCGGACCTGAAGAAGCGAAAGAAAAAGCGGAAGACCGATCACCACCACCGCCGAAAGCATGACAAGCATCATCACAAGAGTAAGAAACGTCGAAAGAGCTCGAGTTCTCCCGTTTCAATGCATCAAGAAGTGGATACAAAGAAATCAAAGGACCATTTGCATAAGCATCATAGGCGTCATCGGCATTCTTCCTCATCGGCATCCTCCAATTTGTCCAAGAAGAAGCGTGGCTTATTTTCAGGGGATAACAACAAGCCAGACGCGAAGGAAAGTTCGAAGGTAAGAATAGTGCTTCATTTCTTAATACAGTACCGTATTGACTCGAGTGCCACACGCCCTGAAGTAAGACGTTCACCGTGTTTTTAGTGGCTTAAAAATTGATAAATTTGGAATCAGAATTCACAATTTTGACTCAAATCGGACCCGAGTAGAATTACTTCTTAAATTTTCCCAAATTTCAGTTGTACCTCTCCAAGTTGAATTTCAAGGGACCAGCTGAAAATTCGAGTTAGGGCGGTTTTGAGTTACGGAAAGAAGCAATTTTTTTTAATGGGAAAGGTTGAATTGGAGGAAATTGTGAACGGCGGTTATATTCCGGACCGTAATTTACTTCTTAAATGAATTGACAGGATGCTGAACTTGGAGGCAAGGGTTCATTTGCTCAATTAGTCTTGCACTTCCTTCCAAAACATGTTACTTTTTTATTGCTTTTCTCTTTCCTGTGTGAATAAAGTAATAGCCAAAATGCCATGGGAAATGCGGGTTATGGAGGCTTAATTGGAAAAGCCTTCAAGCTAGAGAAGTTTTTCTTGCATAATTTCTAAGGGAATTCAGACAGAGATTCAAGTTATTTAGGTTCATTTGTACGTATTTCTCAAAATTTGTCGAAGTTTCCCAATATCAGTCGTTCAAAATCAATTATGATATGCACCTGAACTTTTACGATTTTGAAATTGAATTTTTCTCATTTTATACCCGCCTTTGAAGCGCCCCCCTTTTTTTCCCCTGTCTTATTTCCGGAAAAAGTTGCGCGTGGTACTGTATTATGTTCTGTTCCGGATTTGTATAAATTTTCTGTTCTCGTTTTTTTCTAAAAAAAAAGTTATTTTTTTGTTTCGAATGAGAAACAGAACTAATCTAATCGAAGTAATCTCATCTACAATTGGACTGACCTACTTAACGTACTATCTATAGCTATCTAAGCCATTTTCCGAAGTGATGCACAACGTAATTCATGTATAACCAAGTAACCACTCAATTGGTCGCAACCTTGCATGTCCTAACCTAGCTTATTTGTGGACTCGGGAGGATTTGGTTTGACGAGTAGGCTCATACACGGTGATGAATGCGATGAATCAGCTTTCAAATTCATGCCTAAATCACGTTTGTTAATTTGGTTTTATTGTTTTAAAAAAATGTTGTTCAAGAAATCCAGTGAAGATGATAATTCATTTTCGTTTCTTTTTTTCTTGGACAGGGAGTTAGCGATTGGTTGCATGAAGTTTCCTCGGAGAAACACGACGGACGAAGCTCTTCGACGAAACGTGCGTCGGACTCTTCACCGTATTCGTCGTGGTCGACGTCTCATCGCAAACCCGCGGGTCCCATGAAGGACCGCTTTTTGAATCCGAAGAGCCCCCTGCGTTCCGATGAGGATCAATACAATCGCCCGCCGTTGATCCCCATGGGCAAGAAACGACACAGGTCCAAAGGCAGTGAATCCGACTTCGAATCCGAACTCAAGTGGGACCTCGAGGACCGGAAGCGGAAGAAGGAGGACAAAAAGTACAAGCCGCGGGACAGTTCCGAGAACCGTCAGCGCGGCAAATCCCCGGGTCGGCACAACAGCGGCAGCGACTTCGACCGCGTTCGCAAGGAGACCATTCTCATTCCGCCCCCGACCGTCGCCCCGGGCCACAACAGTAGTAGCACCAACAAGGAGCGGCACAAGAAAGATTTCCGATCTCGACTCAAGGATGGTCTCATGGCGAAGAAACTCAAGAGCGCCGGCAGCAGCGGTTCTTCGGGCGCGTCTTCGGGTGTCGGCGGCGTGCCGCCGAAAGAAGCCAAATTCCTGGACCCCAATCTTGATAACTTGATCTCGCGAGTGAAAGAGTTCAATCAGTACAAAGCCGCCTTGGCCAGCGGGGACAAGGGACCAAACTTCTCCAACGGCGGCGGCGGAGGCACTGGAGAAGGAGAAGCTGGCCCGAAGCTGAACATGGGTACAGTGCTGCACACCGACTTCGCCAGGAAGCACATCCTAGCTTCCGTCACATCGCCGTCTTCTCCGTCGTCCACGGACCCCTTTGATTCCCTCGTGTCCAGCTCGAAGCCTGTCGCAGTGGTGGAGAGCGTGAAGAAGGAAGAGCCCGCTGTGGTGTTGAGCAAGGAAGACGACGTGGTGGCGGTGCCACCGCCGCTGCCGCCGCCTCCTACCGCCAAGCCGCCCGTGAGTGGCGGCGAAGAAACGGGTAGCGAAGAGAACGAAAAGTCGCTGGCGAATAAGGCCACGCCGAACCTCAGTGCCTGGTTCAAAGCCTTTGGTGCACCCAAGAGGAAAGTCACGCCAATCGCGACCGTGAAACCCACTACACCGGTGAAGGACGCCGCGCCGTGGGCTTACGGCAAGTTCGAGATGGAGAAGAACGCCGTCACTGCTGGCTCCAATACCAGTGGCGCCGCTGCCGGTGTTCGACGGGACTCTGATCCCGCCACGACGAAAAAGCCGCCGCAGCAACAACAGCAGCAGCATCTGCTGACGACGGTGATTTCTCCCGTGAACCCGAACTCTGTCGTGTCGTCGGCTCAGCCGCCGCCTCTGCCTAGTCCGCAGCACGGCTCGGATCGGTCGCCGTTGTACGCCAGCTCGGAAAGCGAAGTGCAGTCTCCGCAGACGCCGCAGTACCCGGCGGGCTGGGCTTCGGAGCCGTCGCCGGCCAGGGAGCCGCAACGCTCGCCGCACGTGGGCATGGTGGGTCACGCGGGTTACGTCGGCAGTGGGTCGTTGTCGCAAAAGTCGCCGGTGCCGCAAGAGCCGCTCAAAGTCGGCTTTTACAAGGACATGACGCAGCAGAACAAGCAGAGCCCGGACGGGTCTACGGCGTCCTCGTCGGGGGCCCACTCGCCGATGACGCCGTGCACGCCGCTGACCCCGCAGCAGTTGGACAGCGGTGTCATGTCGCCAGACAGCATGTACAACCGCAACGGCAGCCAGGGCTCGTATGCAGGCAGCAACACCGGCCCCAAGGTTCGTACTTAACATGTGCTTTCAAACCTCTAGAATCAAAGCCCGAATTTTTTTTTCTTTGAATAATTCGCCAGTCGTTGAAAAACATCGATTTTTCGGCTGAGAGCAGTATTCCCCAACCTTTTCTGGCCCGTGGACCGCCAAATTTCCTTTAAAATGTTGGCGGACCGTCAAAATTCCCTGAAATGTTTGCAGACCAGCAGACATTTTCTGAATACCGTTCCTGCCATAAAATCCTTCGACCAAAACTTGTATTGCAAGAATTGAGTTGAGAACCAATGAAGCAACTATAGTGGGATGTTTTCAAGAGATAAGAAAGCTGGACTCCAAGAAATGTCTCCTAGGAAGGAAAATCTTATTTCAGCAGGTTAAATTATGTCCGAAGAGTTATTTGGATAAAAGCCAAATTGTATTTTCCATCGAATAATTTCACTGCCATCGTCTTTCCGACATTTCCGCTAAAGGTAGGAGACTTCTTTTCGTGTGACTTACGTTGAGCTGTATTTGCAATCCCCCCCCCCTCTCCCGACAATATTATGGTCTAGCTCTAGAACTTTTGAATTTTTTGAAATGCCGAGTTTTCGTTGAATTGCCGAAGAAGCGAGGCGAGAGTTGTTGTGAGCACGTGCAGTAATGTTATTGCAATGACTTTGCAGAGCCAGCAGCAAGTCGCGTCACCTCAGGGCCAGCAGCCGTTCTCCGTTGGATCGGACGCCTCCATCGGTTCTCCCGCCAGCAACGCCTCAGTGTCCGTCCTTAGCCCTGAAGTTTCCATGAAAACCGTGCACCAGTCCGCTGGCCAACAGATGCAGCAAAAGCAGCAGCAACAGTCGCAGCAGCAGCAGCAATCCATCAACCGAGGCAGCCAGTTGCTCCAACCTGTTTCCGCAAGTCAGCAGCACACAACAACAACAACAACAACAGCAGTCTATGCCGCAACTGCAGCGTCAACAACAAAGCAACAACTTCGTGCCATCGTCTTACCAGTCCATGTCCCCTGCTGGCAATCAGCAGCAAATGTCTCCTGCTGCAATGCACCAGCAGCAAATGTCTCCAGCGAGCATGCACCCGCAGCAGCAAATGTCGCCTGCTGGCATGCCGCAACAGATCTCACCTGCTGCGGCTGCTGCTGTCGGCATGCATCAACAGCTGGCGTCGTCGGGGATGTTGCCTCAACAACAGCAGCAGCAGCAGCAACAACAGTCCAGACAACAACAACAACAAGCTCCTGTGCAGCCGCCGAGGCAGTTGTCGCCGATTCAACCCATTCAGCCGTCCGTGAAACTGCAGCCAAGTGGCCAGATGCCGAATCCGTCTCCCTACAGTCTTACCGGACTCACGCAGATGCTCAACCGAGTGTCACCGGACATTCAGTCGTTCCAGAGTCAACTGAATCCCGGAAATATGGCGGCCAAACAAGCGTCGCGCCAACAGGACTTGATGAGCCTCGGCCTCAAGTCGATGGAGAACCCGCTGCAATCTGACCCGTGGGCCCGGATGTTCGAGTCGGCCAAGGCACCGACGCTCTTTCCGACGGCAGTCACGACGGCCGCTGCTGTTGCCAACATGGGCTATCCGTCGTCATTTACGGCTGCCGCCGCTGCTGCTGCTGTTCATCACCAGCAGCAGCAGCAGCAACAACAGCAGCAGCAGCAGCAACAACAGCAGCAACAACAACAGCAGCAGCAACAACAGCAACAGAGCCGATCAAGCAACAGATCCGGACTAGTGCAGCAGGTGACCAATCACCAAGGCATGTCGCCGTTTTTCCAGACCACGGGTGCGTCGGCGACGTCTCCGTCCGTATCGTCGACGCCGTCATCGGGAAATTCGAGAAAGTCGTCGTCTTCGACTGGGAATCAGGCGGCCGGTGGATTCCAACAGGCGTCTGCGGCGCAGAACGCGTCCGCGCGGAATGTGTTGCAAAACGCCGCTGGCTTGGCGCCCACGACTACGACGACGAATCCCGCATTCCGCATGTCTGCTCCGCATCAGATGGGTCCTTACGCAAACCTGAGCTCTGCGAATTCAGTGGTGGTCAACGATCAGTTTGGTCCGCCCTCGGGTTACGATCGACGCTCGACAGCGGCGTCAGGGAGTGCGTTGCAACAGCAGCAAGTGCAACAACAACAACAACAACAACATCAGCAGCAGTCGTCGCAACAGCTGCACGGGTCGCAACACCCGGGCAGTAGCAGCCATCTCCAGGCGTCCAAAACCAGTGGCGGAGGCGGGCAAATGGACTATGGGGCGTCGCCGTATGGGTTGTCGTTGCAGAGCGCGGCTTCGAGTTTCGTCGACCCAATTCCGTCGCTAGGGAACGTGGTGTCTGGGTCACACCAGACGTCGTCATCGTCTTCAACGGGGGGCAATTCCACGCCGAATGCGGTGGTGTCCAGCTCTTCGGCGGCAGCGGCGGCGGCGTCGTCGTCGCCGTCTGTAGCGGTGTCGTCGGCATCCTCACCGTTTGGGTTTGCGGCCTCGCACAGTCCGTCGCCCACGACGCCGTTCCACGCGTTCATGAATCACCATCCGTCGTCGGCGGCCTTGTCGCGCCAGGCTGCAGCGGCGGCGGCCTTCATGCCGCACTCGCTCATCGACCCGGGCAATCCGTTTTATCACCAGTTCTTGCAGCAGCAGCAGCGGCAGCAGGAGGAGATGTTCCTGCGGGCCAGCAGCCACTCGTCCGCTGCGCAGCCGTCCATGGTGCTACCGCAGGGCTTCATGAGCGGGGCCTTCCAGGGTGCCCCTGGGTACCCACCGTCTATCGGACAGCTGCCCTTCAGGGGCCGTCCAGCGTGGCCGTGAGAAGATTGTTTATCAAAACGAGGGAAAAAGAAAAAGGTTCGTGCGTTTTGGTTTCGGTTACTTTGTGGGCAGTTGTTCAGTATCTACCGTGTTTTTCGCCGTCCGATTTCCCACTCTTCCAATATTTTGTTTCAAATTTAGCAAGGGCAGGTCCGAATTAAAAATGTAGGTGTAGTTCAGAGTATAGTATTGTCATAGTACCGTAATTCCTTTTCGACTGTTTTATTTTTTCTTATGCCCGTGGGACTTAGGAGAACTTGTACCATATAAAGTTAGGTCACAGTGCTACCGTGTGTATTAGAAAATATACCCAGCTTTTTCAAGTTGAGCCTCTTGATAAACCGCTCTTTAGCAAAAAATGTATTCATGTACGGTATGCATTTAGATGTCTAAAATTTTCTATTTCCCCATTTTTAGACTAAATTGATGTTTGAGAAATGCGTGATTTAAATCTGAACAATTTCTTCAAATTAGTGGAAATACTGTATGCCGAAGGGGTGCTAAAGCAAAGAATCAAGATGACGAGGAAATGCTCGAAGAATTGGGGCATATTTACTCTACAATATTTTTTTTTTCAACTGCGCGCGGAAATTCGATACCCCTCTCATTTTTCATGGGTCTTCCAAATTTTTGGAGAAATGATTGCTATACTACTTGAATAGGCAATGGTTTAGTTTCTTCCTTCGGCTTCTTTCTAATATTACTTCCCTTTTTTTTCTAGTTTTAGCTGTGGATCGAACACGGGTGTTACCGGGATGAGCAGTGGTGCGAAAGGAACCAATTTCGTATCAAGAATCGCATTTCCGTGGACGTCGCGAAAACTTGGGAAGCTACGGACGTGAATGCCACTTCGGACCAATATTGAATTATTTCGTTTGTGGAAATTGAACGACAATAAGCGAGAACAGAGTTTCTCCATTGTGTTCGAGAGTGTTTTTTTTTTTTTAGATCTCTCGTCATTTGATTGTATTTCGTGACGTCGGTGATTTTCGAGAAAAAACGAAAATAAATAAGAGAGAAAGACAAATTTTCAAAGAAAGGCTTGGGTTTCCGTTCGGTCCTTTCGTCCGAATTGTCTCTTTTTCGAACGCATTGTCTAAAATTGTGTGCATGGCTGCTGGATTAATTTCCGTGTGCCTCACTTTTTTTTTTTTTTTTTTTTTTTTTTTGGTTTTTTTTTTNAATTTCCGTGTGCCTCTCTTTTTTTTTTTTTTTTTTTTTTTTTTTGCGGATGTATTTTCGGCCAGGAATTTTTTGGAACTTGGTTTCATTCAGAACTGTTATAATTCGTGGAAGCTCGTCCGGAAAGAAGCTTTTATATTGTTGCACGTAGGGTCAGGATGGGATCCCGAAATTTTTGTTACGTATCATTTGCATATTTGTTTTTTTTGAATAGAAGACTACGTATCGGTCGTGACTGTTGGGGGTTTTCTCAAGAGTTTTCCGTGAGTGGACGAACGACGTTCAAAGAATTTCAAAGGCTTCAGACGTGCATTTTGATTGTGGTTTATACTCATTTTTTCGAGCTCCGAATTATCTAGCTTCTCTTTGTACATTTCGTTACGCGTCACTCTCTGTTCTTGCGGCCCTTTTTTTATTCCCCTCGGAACTCGGGATGGAAGAATGAACGAAAAAAGAACGAATAAATCGAAAAAAATGCGTTTTGAAATTGCGTCTTCTTCTCTCTTGGCAAGAAAACGCCGTTTTTCGTGGACTGTATACAAGTAGGATTTTTGAGGATATCAAATGAGATCTTCAAATGAATTTGAGCTGAAAAATGATTCTTCATTTAAAAAGCATTCTTTGGCACAAGAAAAATATCAGCCCATCAGGAAATATTTTGCAGAAATTATTTGCAAAATTAGTCACCATGGCAGCTTTCTGCCCTTCACACGTAAAATGAGGCACCCATCTTGCATGATTATATATTTTTGCTTAACCCAGCTTCCCCTTTGGAATTCATGAAATTGACTTGGCTTGCCTCATCCAGGTCTTTCAAGCTATTTTCATTTTTATGAAGATGAGTCTCCCTTCGCAGACTCATCTTAATTGGCGGCTCAATTATATGCCTTTTCAATTTTGATTCTGAAAACTTTGGTTAGACCCCTCGTTCATATAAGAGTACCCAGATTTCACTTCCTTTTGGAATGCAAATGCTAGAAGTGAATGCTTTTGATACTCAATTAGCGCGTAAGTAGAGTGGC